CCGCCATCCGGCGGCGTTCCCCCTACTGATTTATTTTTCCTTTCAATACGCAAACTGTTATTTTCCTTAATTAATGGAGATTAATGTCATTAAAGCTACTAAAATTCCTTAATAATTCATAGATTTACATCCATAATCGTTTCAGGTATCACTTACCCTTTTTTACACCAAAACAAGTATCACCTAACAGCCACCTAACAGCCACCTAACTTAAGTGGCTGCTTGCATCCCAGGGCAATGAGAATTCAATTGTTGAATAATTTATTCGAAATCGTCATAATCCGCTTCATCTTCGTTTCTCTTTTGCTTTTTGCATTCTTTTTTATTTTTAGGGATGTATGTATTATGTACTATATACATATATACTATATTTTTTTTACAGAACTATTTCAATTTTTGCTTCAGAATGGAAGGAGGGCAATTCTTCGATTTTCACATTCTCTAATGTTGATTGGAAATGATGTAGAATGGTCTGAAACGTAAAAATACGAAGTTTGGCGCCCATGTTTGTATGTGACCACGTCCACCGTCGCCTTCCCGGTGGTCAATTTTTAGAAAATTGAATAATTAAGTGACTAAAGTAATTCCAAAAAATCTGAAATTTATTCAGATTTTAGGTCCTGATGAGGACTAACTCTGTACAAAATTTCGGCCCGATCGAACTAATAGTTTTTGAGAAAAAACAATTCATTTTTAAATCGTTTTCCGCAAATACTTCAAAACTATGTAGTGAACCGATTTTGATTTTTTTTTCAAAATATTCGCTTCAACGCCTTCTAATTCAAATCAATGAAAACATATATACCCGTTCATACAAAGTTTTCGAGCTATGCCCGTTTTTTCATTAAAAAAAACCTTGGAAACACTCTAGCTTGTGCAAAAAACGAGATATCAACTTGAAATTTGGACAGAAAATATTTATACCCGTTCATATGAAGTATTCGAAACATTGGAATTTTGATAGCACCCATGGAGATGACAGTAACCATCTGAAATTTTTACTCTTAGTTGGTTTTGTGAAGCTATAAACTTTTGTCATATTTCAGATCATTCGGAAGCCTGCCATCGATGTATTGACGGCGAAAAAAAAAGCATCACTCTGTGACATGCTCACTGTCACCTGCCTGTTTCACAGAACTGTATTATATTTTTTTATTGTCAAAAAAATTACAATATATATTATATATATTTTTTTTTGACAGAACTATATATTTTTGTATTACAGTACGAAATGAATTTCTTTTTTTTTTACAATTATTATAAGCAAAAGAGTACAGTACATAAAAATATACATAGATATCATATTACATTACTGGATAAGCGGAATAAAGGCTTGAAAAATTACACTGGATTTTTTAACGGTGGATTAACCAGGGATTTCCAATCCGTCCAGATCCTGTCCAAAATTCGTCTGCAACGGGACGTTTGTAGCTCGTAAAGTCACGGGAAATATCAGGAGAACAGGGTCGCCGAGGAGCATCATACCTCCTAAATGTGACCTCTTCTGAACGCTTTTTCTAGGAAATGAGGGGTTTTAGGAAAAAATATCATGATCTTTTCTGTAGAGGGTTCTCGCATCTACAAGAAAGGTTTACTGATGCATCCCAAGCAGCACAGTTCTGGAGGGTATCTGCAAGTATACCAAAAAGGCTGTCTAATGTCTGTCCAAAAAGGTAACTTGTGTCTAGAAGTTACCTAGAAGTTAACTAAAAGTTATCGTATGACTGCAAGATACCTTTTGGACGGACATTAGTCTGCCTTTTTGGTATACTTTCAGATATCTTTCGCAAGGTTTGCTACTTAGGATCCTTGTAGATGTTTTGTTTTTGAAGATATCTGTTAAATCATCCCTAAAATACGAATTCATTGTACCAACTCATTTTGAATTGCTGCTGCAGGTGGCAGCACGTAGCTGCGCACGCAGTCAGCACACAAATGGTTTTGCTGTTATTACTATAAACCGGATAAAAAATTAAGCATTGAAATTTCTACGTATCTCTTTCAAATTCCATTGGTCTCCTATGTTCATTCATTGACGAGAATGGATTGTAAATAAATTCGAATGAATTATCACGATTAGTGGACGAATCAATTGACGAAAAATCCTGATAACCCCAAATCTCACCAGTGGATTGTCATGACATTTTGTCGAATCAAAAGCTCCTGAAGAATGAACATGGAACAGAGATCGTACAAGTAAATTATTACGATCGTCACATTATATTATCTATGAAAATTAATGTAACCCATGACCCCTAAGAGCGATGGACCTCCTCTCCCAGGTGCCTCTTCTGTCTTGTGATGAAGAGACCAAGGGATTCGACCGCGACGCTGGCAATCGCTGGATCTACCCAGAAAATCTTCCAGTTAGAAAATATCAATTCACTATTGTAAAGACTGCATTGTTCAATAATACTTTAGTATGTCTTCCAACGGGTAAGTTTCATTACGTTGTTGAAAATTATGTTTGTTGCATGAATTGTAATGATTTTCCTTGTTCACTATTATGAAAAAAATGAAATTTCATGGACAGTTGGCTACTAATTTACAGGACAGTGATACTGAATGCGCTTGAGGGAGTAAAATCATGAAATTTCAGGTTTCACTGAACATTCAGTAAAATTCCTGAATTTTAAGCAGCCTAAGGCGAGAATTCCTCAATTTGTTTGAATTTCCAATCTAATGTGAATATTCAGTGCCAAATTACATTGAATTTTCAGTGAAATCTGAAATTTAACGGTTTTTCCCCCCTAAATCGCATTTAATGTCACTGTCCTGAAAATTCAAGAATATATTTACCGGAATTTTCTTGTTTTCTGGCCCATCCTATATGGATTTATCAGGTGTCCACATTACTCAATGAAATAATTTTCAAAAATTTGAATTTTGGAGAAAAGCTTTTTTTTGCAAATTTTTTGAGGGTCCATTTTACCCCAGATGTCCATATTGCCTCACCCTCCCCCACATAGAAAAAGGATGTTCCTAGTTTCCTGTTGAAATCACTAAATTTCAGTACTCTAGTACTGGTATCTCGCGGGCCCAGCAAATTAGGGAAATTAGTAAAATGTTCATTTTTTTCAGAATTTTGTTTCCTAAAGATTATCGAAAAAAATTGTAATTCTGACTGATTTGCAATTCAATTTGATTGAGTTCTACTTAATATAAAGCACATTTTTCCTTGTTTTAAGGGAATCTTAGTTCTAGAATCCAGAACTTTGGGATTCTCGAATCAAGAATATTTGGCACACACACCAAGTACATTTTTGTTCTTGAATCGATAACTTTTCTTGCCATTAAATTAATTACACTCAAGTTGATGAAATAACTTTTATTAAAAGTATAACGCCTGACCCATTGACTCTGATGTTGAATTGATGTTCAATTGTTTCTTAGTTTAAAAACCCAAATGTTTCTAATCTAAGAGCCTAATGTTTCTTGATTTAAGGAGAAATAGGTAATAATAAGAAATAAGTTTTATGATACTGAAGAAAATCTTCTTTAACACTTAATTTCACGAATTCTTTTTCTCAAAATGCCGTAACCGAATTGTTATTATCAGTACCATTACTCCTAAAGCCATGAGTTTTCTAAAATCACTAACTTGGCTCTAGAAACTAGGAATTTTTTCTCAATTTTCTCAATCCCTCTTAAACCCCATTTTTTAAATATTTCCAAAATTCATATATTTGATACACATTCTATTCTATTCTATTTGATACATATTCTAATTAGTTGAAAATATCTAGAGTCATTTTTCGTTAGAATATTCCTTCATCATCGCAGGCTCTCTTGAAATTTGCCTGATAATTTTCCCATGAATTTCTGCTCCTATCCAGGTCTTGGAAAGACGTTCATAGCAGCTGTAGTGATGTACAACTACTTCCGATGGTATCCCAAAGGCATAATTGTCTTTCTCGCCCCCACGAAGCCCCTAGTTGCCCAGCAGATCGACGCTTGTCATGACATCATGGGGATCCCGATTAGTGACACAGTCGAGCTCACCGGCGCAACCAATCAAACGAAACGTGCTACAGCCTGGCGCGAGCGTCGCGTTATCTTCGCAACACCTCAGACCTTCCAGAAGGACCTCGAACGCTCCATTGTCCCCACAGACCTCATAAAATGCATTGTCGTCGACGAGGCCCACAAAGCCCTCGGAAAGCATGCCTACTGTGAGTCAATCCGCATGATGCACCAGGCTAATCCCTACTTCAGAATCCTCGCCCTTTCTGCCACCCCTGGAAGCAAACTGGAGGCGGTCCAAGATGTTATCAGGAATCTCCACATCACCCACCTGGAATTGCGAGATGATACATCTCCAGACATCACTCCCTACATCAACGAACGCAAAGTAGATATAATCCTCGTTGACTTGGGTCAAAACCTCTCCGAATTCAAGGAACGGTACATCGAAATAATGGATCGACACGTGAAAATTCTCCTCCAGTACAACGTTCTCAAAACCTCCGCTGCCCACATCTCCAAGGGACGAATCTTCTACATCCTGAATGAATACAAATCTCATCCAAATAAATCTAACCACCATGGAATCATCATGAAGACCCTAAACATTCTCCTCACGATGTACCATGCTTATGAGTTAATTATTCGTCATGGACTACGAGCATTCGTCCATTTCTATCAAAACCATTCTGATAAATTCTGGCTGGATAATGAACCAGAACTCCAAGAATTATTGGAGAACATCAGACAGTATCTTGGTCCATTTCCAGATGCAGGACCGTTCATGGACGGAAGTGTCACCGAAGTCCCCGAAAATCTTGTCTTTGGTCATGGAAAGTTCGAGACTCTTCGAAGTATATTGATCCAGCACTTCAGACGAGCTGAAAATAAGGAAAACAACACGAGGGCAATAGTTTTCACTGAATATAGAGACATTGTCAACGAAGTTTATGTTTTACTTCTTCAGTCTCGTCCTCTGATTCGTCCCCAGGTGTTCGTAGGTCAAGCTGGACTCAAGCAGAGGCAACAAAAGAAGGCTCTCGAGGATTTCAGAAGCAACCAAGTCAACGTTTTAATATCAACATCAGTTGGAGAAGAGGGATTAGATGTTGGAGAAGTAGATCTCATCGTCTGCTTCGACATTTCCCAGCACTCACCAACGAGACTGGTCCAGCGAATGGGCAGGACAGGACGGAAACGTAACGGACACATAATTGTCCTTGTTACAGATGGGAAAGAGCACGAAACCCTGCAGGCGGCTCTATCTAAACGAGACTCAATGAACAATAAAGTTCTGCATTCCAATGGAGTTATATTAGCTCTGCACAATTCCAGTCCTCGAATGATCCCTGAGGATATTCAACCTCAAGTTCACAAAATTCACATGACAGTCCTACCCAAGGGACCACCAGAGAAGAAAGGAAGGAAGAAGAAAAATCATTTGGAAACTGAGAAGAAAACGAAAAGAGGAGGTAAATCTAAAAATCAGAAAAATCCTGAAGGGGCTGGAAAAAGTAGTGGACGGTGTGAATCGCTCATGAGGTTCTTAACAACAGTACCTAATGATAATGATGAGATCGATAATGATATCGTAGCTCCAAAAATCCAGGAGACGAGGATTTCCCAGATTGAAAATAGCCAACCCCTCAGGGCTAATTCCATGAGCCTTGAGGACATTAAGCACGCCGACGTCCAGCTCTTGACTAATGATAATGAGACTATTGAGTTCCTGACGCTGTGTGCCACCAGACAGTCTAAAAAGTATAATAATGAGAATAATAATAATGAGGATGAAGAGAACAGAAATTTGGTGATTCGTTATGCTCCTAAAGTAGATAATTGTGAAGATAATTTTTTTAGTAATTTGAGAATTCCTGATGAAGCAATTTTGGACTGCTTAAAGACTGTTAAAATGTTTGTTGCACCTGTGGAGGATGAACTAACGCAAATGACTCCTGAGGGGATTATTTCGGGGGGAGTAGATAATTACCACAGTCCGCAGGATTTCATGGACTGCGGCAATAATTTCGAGGATCTATTGAACACTAGTGAGTCAGATAATGATGGTGAATGTGATAAGAGAGAATCACCACCTTTGGAAAGTGTTGATTGGAGTCATAATAAAAGTAAAAACAGTAGTCAAGCTGCTCAGAGGAATTTGGAAGTTAATGTTATGATTAAAAGTGATTTTGAGATAGTTCTGGATGATTCTTCCGACGAGGAAATTCAGAGAAGCCCAGAGATTTGCACTAAAAGGTCAAAATCACCTTTTCAAAGTATGAAAACTCATGAGAAAATTCCATCTCCCGAATGCTATGCGGAGAATGCATTTGAAAATATTTTGGATGAAGCCTCGGATGAGGATCCCGATGCAACACAGTTCGATTTCAACTCCATGACGACTGATGTTAAAAACGCTGAGGTAGGAATTGAAGAAAATGGGCATAGTAAGGATTCAGATGATGGAAAAATGGATAAAACCCTTGAGAATACAGAAACGATGGAGATGGAAGTGGATGGGCCAATCATGGAGACAATGCCCTGCAGTCCGTCGTTGGTGGAAACTGCGGATATTCGTATTCCATTTTCCTATAATTCTACGGATAGGAACTCAGAGGTAAATAATGAAAATTCACTGGATGATGAGATAGAAGTTCTCGACATTGAAGAAACTCAAATTGAACATCCGATAGACTTGACACACGATAATAAAATTGCACGTAAATCTGAGGAAAGAAATCAATCATTATCGATAGAAAATAAAATTGAAAAAAAGGAACTCCCCCAGAAGGAAATGAATTCATTTTCAACACCTAGTAAAAATTCCAATAATTCATGCGACAAAGTCAGTAAATCTTGTACAGGAAATGAAATACAAATTAATTCTCATCCTGCGATGAATGCAATTCTTTCGGAACGAGAGGATAAATCTCGATATTGTGTCAATGAACTAAATTTGACGGACTTAGAAGATGACTTTGAACCCTGGGAGGATATGGAAAAGATAGCAACAATGCCACAAGCTTCTGTACTATCGGAAAGCTTCACCCCTCAAGCCAGCACAAGTCACACCAATCTGGCCAATCCAAAATCGTCGTCTATCGCGCACCCCCTCAAGTTATCCAATCAAAAGGTGGAAAAACATGTAAGCCAGCGTCAAGGGCCATCCAATCACAACACGTCTCTGAAGAATCCCATTACTTCTGGTGGTAATCGAGGAAAAGATGTGCACAATGTCTCAACGAAGAAAAGGTTTCCACACAGGACCATTTATAATAAATTATTAAACCGTTTCGAGACTCCTACAAAATCCAGTGGAGTCAATAAATCAACAAATATTTTCACTCCAACTACTTCGTCTGCTCCTTCAGCCGTGTCGAATGGTAAGAAACCCAATAAAATGTTTGAAGATGACTTGGATGACTTTGATTGGGGTAGTGACTTTGAAACTCCACCAGAGGTCATAAATTCCGAGTCAAGATTTTTCGAGGGAAGCACACAGCCGCCGACCAAAATCAGTGAATCTACGGGCTCTTCGGGGGAATTCTCATCGTCTAAATATTTTAATAAAGCTCGCGATAAACCCCAAGATAAGCCTTCGAGTAAACCCTTCCAAAATTCTTCCTTAAACAATGATAAATTAGCCGCAATTCGTGCTACTTTATTCTCAAAGCCTAGTAAAGAGTTTGTAACTCAACAAAATTCAGACTCTGACGACGATTTTTCATCTACCAAAATCAAAAAGAGTGTCTTCAATGGATATCGCAATAATAAATCAGTAAAAACTAGTGATCTGGCCTCCAAAACTGACAACAAAATCCCTCAGAAAATTACAAGTACAAGTGACAGCAGAGCAATTCCTACCTCGAGTGTGAGTAATTTCGCTCTTCCAAAGGCAGTACCACCAAGAATTAATAAAAGAGTTTCAAATCAATCAAGTAATTCATCGAAGAAAAGAAGAAAACCAATGGGAAGCAGAAGAGATCGAGTCAAAAGTGATTTTATTGATGATGAAGCTGAAGAATCTGACGACTACTGCAACGAAGTAACTGATTTCTCTGATGAAGATGATGACGAGGACCTTAGGGATTTTGTTAGCCACACTCAGGTACACGATGATTCAGTGGATATGAAGGCTTACTACCTTCAAAGCACAAGGAGTCCGAAGAAAAGGAATGGATATCATCTGAAAAAACCCAAAACTCCACCCCCAAATCTTCAGATTTTCTCGCAGGCTGTTGAACCTGACACTTATATGTACGACTCTTTCTGTGTGAGCGCTAGTCAAGAGGAGGACGAGGTCTTCGCTGATGATTCAGATGAGGAGATAACCATTCTCGAGGAGATTGATCATAAATCCAGCAAGAAGAGAAAGAGAGGAGATTCGGTCGACTCTAAGGGAAAAAGAAGGAGGATCCACACGGCGGAGGACAACAGTAGTGACGATGAGACTGAGAATTTGAGGGCCGCCATCTTGGAAGAGTCTATGATGTTGAAAAAGCGACGGTGATTTTTTTGCTGCCATTAATTTTTAATGAATCATTACCGTAAATTTATTGTTACAGTGGTAAGAGAAGACACGAGTTTTTTTAGAAGTACATCTCTACTTGTATCAAGGAATTCATGACTTGAAAATTACCAAGCGCACAATATCTCACACTAAGAAAAAAAAACCTTACGACAAGAAATTTTCTACTTGTCCCAAAGATGAGGGCAATTGGTTCATATAAAGAAAACAAGTTCTCAAATCAATTCAAGCAGTTTTTGCATTAAAATATTGTAGTACTTCTCAAAAAACTTTGATTTTCTCAGTGTATACTTGAAATATGGTGACCGGTATCATCGATATGTCAATTATAAATGTTAAAGAATTATCTTAGAAATGAAGTGGTAAAGAGCAACACATCATAACGAGTATTAATCACACTTAATTAAATCTTCAATTATTTCAATGATGAGTAAATCTAGGGAAACGTGCCAGGAGAGATTTTTTATTTTGCAATTACAAAAGACTTTTCATGATATTCATTTCGTAAACTTTTTTTGGATTCAGAAAAATATATTAAATTTGAATCATTACATATTACCACTTCATTACACAAATGCTTATCAACGGAGTTTGTTGAATGAGGATTAAACGGAAGCGAATAACTAAGTATATATTCCATGAAGAAATTATACACTAACTCGTCTGACAATGTTATTATCATGCAATACATTTGAATAAATTTCATATTTTTTCATAATTCGAGGAGATAAAAATTGTTGGTGTTATTCAATTTTTCCCTGAAAACATTTCCTTTTGCATTTTGTTCGGTTCTGTAGTATTGCTAATTACGTCCAATACAAATATCGATTCTTTGGGTTAGACTGATGGAAGATAGAAGGAAACGAGTAAGCAGACCGACCCCCTGAATATCCCTAAATATCATATAATGACAATTACTCTAACGACAACTTAATGAGCCTAATTAGGGGATGGGGCTGTCCGAGAGTTCTTTGCTTCTGGAAAGTTGCACTGAAGGGTATATAAATACAAAAGGTAATGGGTTTGTTATGTCAGTTTAACTACTGCTGTCAGAGAGTTCACAGTGTTCTCAAATTTTCACGTGTATTGTGATCCAAGAAGGAAAATAAGGTAAGAAGCTCCTCAACTTCATCTCTATCTTTCAATTTTTTAATTGTTCATTATCATGTTCACAAACATACATGAGAACTTCGTAGTATTTGTTTTCTTAGAGAAGTGAAATTGCTTTGTTCATCAATTATGAGAATATACATCATTTTTGATTATCTGGACATCTATTTCTAAATTCACTGGTGAGACGATGAAGAAAAACGTAATGGAACAAGTCGGTGTCGCATAACTAATGAAATTTCAAATTGTTCCAATAATGAATAACCAGCGAACGGGCGCTTCGCCCCCGTCACTAGATTAATTTATACTATTTTATTTTATTTTCTTTCCCTTTCCGTCTTGACAATTAGATTAATTTAATTTTGTCCATTCTTATTCTTATCATATATATATTTTTTCCTTAATTCACAAGTTACAATATTGAATGAAGAAGAATTATATTAAAGATCAATATATAAAAAGTGTTTTTTTTTGTAATCAAAACAACACGTATGAAAAAATTTAATAGAAAAACTTACCGAATTGGCTAGAAAATTCTATTCGAATTCTCTAGATATTCTATTGGGATTCTATTAGAATTCTAGAGAATTTTCATTAAAATTTTATTTGTTTTTTGCGCTGATTCTATGAGATATTTGATAGGAAAAAGTTAATAGGTTTCGATTTTTCTAGATAAATATTCTCTTGGAATTGTTTCTATAAGAATACTTGGGCATGAATTTTCTAAGTTTTTTTCACTCGGATCCTGCAATGCAAAACAAAATAAAATATGGCGAAAAAAACTTAGAAAATGCGTGCCTAATAGTTTCAATAGAAAAAATTTCAAGAGAAAAATTTTAACAGAAAAATCGGAATCTATTGACGTTTTTTTACCAAATATCTAATAGAATCTGCGCAAAAAAACAGAATTTTATCGAGAATCCCTGTATAATTTCTAGACAATTCCAATAGAAACTTCTAGCGAATTCGCTAGGGTTTTCTATGGAATTTTTTCATACGTGAAACACAAAAGACAAGTCATTTGAAATCTCATTCGGGTCGTAGAAAAATCTCTCCATGTATTCCTGGAAATTTAAAAAATCTATTTGCCCTTCCTATGGTAGAAGGATATCGGTACTCCTTGTTTCTAGCGTCGGATTCCAATTATTATTATGATAAGGAAATGAACAAAGAATCAGAAAGAGATAATAGCCTATAAAATGTTCTGTTTTGTATTGAAGGGATATCAACATTTCAACGAGAAGAAATTCAAAAAATTCAAACAATGGGGGTGGGAAGAAATATGAAAAATTAAATTTTCAATGTTTGGAAAGTTTTAAAATCGATATATTTTTTCGAATAACGTAAGAAAACCCATAAATTTGATTTCTATCCTCGTCTTTTGCTCGAATGAATGGAATAAATGACAGAAATTGAGAATTGGAGACTAAAAATTTTATCGGATTATTATTATGTAATAATGTAATGTAAGAATAAAATATTTTGTCCCATTTTTCATTGTAAATTCCATAGAGTTTATGATATAAGAATAATTAGCAACACAAACAAGTAAATGAAAGTTTTCGATGATAGAATTTGGACATTAGTCAGTGGAATTTTGATACTCTGTACTTCAAAGTCCGATTGCAATTTAAATGTTTAGTGAATTTATAATGAATTGATGAATTTAGAGTGAAACAATTGTCTATATAGGTTCCCAAATATGTTATCGAATTAGAAAAAGCCATGAGGGAATTCATTAATACTCCGTTGGTCGCCCTACACGGAGAAAATTTTTTTAGAACGATTCTAGTGCTAGTACGGGAAAAGAGGAGCAAAGTGACGACCAAGAAAAAAATCCAATGCTGACATTGGAAATTTTATTGGGGAAAATGTGAATTATTGCCCGTATTTCTGTTAAAATTTCACAGAAATCCCCAGAAATTTAACCAGAAATCCCGGGAAATCTTACGTTAAGCGCACTAGAATTTTTCACAGCCAGTGGGTTGTGATTTTTCCCAGTACTCTTACTAGAATTTTTCTGGAAAATTTCCGTGTATGAGCGTCGCACCGCACTTTTTCCGATTTTTTAAATTACACTGCAGTAAATTTTCAAAACAATTTGAAAAAAGTTGACATCTCATTTTAAAGTGTCCAGAAGCCCTATCAATAAAAATATCCGTCAAAAATATCATAAGTACTTAGATTTTCAAATTTTTATTCCGAAACTTCGGGCGGAGGTACTCACTTCCGAAATCATGGCTCCACTTTGGCATGAAATCATTCCGAAATCATTTCAAAATCAAGTGAAATCATCTTGAATTTAATTCTCCGAAATCACGTGAAATCGTCTGAAATCAGTGAAATCATCGAAATCAGTGGCGCACTGGCGTAGTACGAACCGTGCAAGTAATTCGTGATTTTGAAATTGACTCATCTGCCAACGATGTGATCTCCGGAATTTTTTCCGTAGATCGGCAAAACTAAGAGATATTTGTATCATAATCTGTATGATTTTTGTTACTGGTCCTTCCCTTTATTATTTTGCTGCAAACTCCATAAATTTCTAATTGAAATTCAAGGTGAATTTGTCTATCGACGTCCGGTTTAAACATATTTGTATTCAAATTTGAATCTAAATTTAATTTTTTTCAATCCAGCGTTCAATCTTCTGTTCGAAGAATATAGGTAAATATTAATTCTTCAATCAAGGGCATCTTGAATTTAATTCTGCAATATTATATAAGCTTAAAACAAAAATTTTTGTTCCATAAAAGATGTATTTATATTTTACAGATCTCAAGTACCTTAAAAATAGCATCAAAATGATAAATTTCACTTACAGACGGCGATGGCTGTGGTTAGAGCGAGGAGTTGGCACGGGGACGACTCGGGTTCGATTCCCGATCGCGGGGGGGGGG